AGAGGGAGAAAATGACCAATGAGATATTGAAAATAGGAGTGTCATCCTTATTCTTAGATAGTTGAGATGTCTGAATGCTTCCAAGCATGATGGTTTTTTGGAGTTCAGAAGTTCTGTGTGAAAATTCTGTGTATGTTTGAGAGAAATATCCTGGAAGTTCAAAGCATTCACAATGCTCCAGGGCTTATTACCTGCTTACAGTCAGTGCAGGGAGCAACATGGAATAAATAAACCCCAAGGAAGCTGAAATGATTTTTATAGGAAACTCCCAAAATGTCATAGAATGAAAAGCGCATATGGAAGAAAATCAAGGGTGAAGCAGCTGAGTCTGACATTGAAATTCGGGAACTGTTTGTAACCAAGTGTTCAGATGAAAAGGAAATGAATTTTAAAGGTTCTTTTGGTTTTGTTTTTCAGACAGCATCTCCTTGTAGCCAAGGCTCCCATGGATCTCCCTACGTAGACAAAACTGGCCTTGATTTCACAGAGATATGCCTGCTTCTGCCTCCTTCCTAGTGCTGGGAGTAAAGCCATGTGTCATTACACCCAGTTTGAGGCTTTTGAAACCACCTTTCCTATCACAGGAGCAGCATGCTTGCATCATTGGAGTCAAAACACTTGAAGGAGAAGCCCATGGAGTTCATGGCACCTCACTGTTTACTGTTCACCTCTGTCAAGCATCATCTCTCTGCTCCATTCAGCAGCACTTTTGAGTCTGAACTCAAGCCAGTCCATGTGCAGCTGGAAGAAGACAACTATAAAACATGCCACTGTCCATATGTCATAATGTTTGAGGTTCCCAGTGTGCAAAAGGCATGGAATTCTGTGACTTTTTCCACCATGTCCCTCAGTGGATCCACAGAGAGCTCTGGGCTGATGCAGACAATTCTCATGTGGTGGCACCTCCACAGAGACTATCCACCAGGACAGTATCCAGTGGACCCAAAGGAGCAAGTCCACTCTCAACACCTAAGAGCTGTAGGGATTTAGCAGACAGTGTCAGCCTGGAAGTTATGAAGGCCATTAGCTCCAACCTGGGACAGCTGCAGCATGGCTGAGCCCAGCAAATCCAGAGTGGCAGGGCTGCCTGATACCTTGTTGTTACACCCTCCCCAGTGGGCAGGAAGGGACATATTACTATCAAGCCTTAAAAATTAATGTTGCTTGTCCCAAGGCGTTCTAGTTTATTAGAATTAGTAATTCTTTCTCTATTCTAACTCAGACTGTGGTAATGGAAATGCCCACCATCTGCTCATTCCAACATGATACTTTGTAAGTACCCAGCATAGTTTTGTCAGCACATATATGGAGGAAATTTCCATCATGATGAACTATATCATAATCTCCATTTTTCTTACTTTGGAGTTTTTGTGCTTTGGAGCTTCATGTTGATATCAGAATGAGTTTAGAATAGCGAGGTTTGGGTGGGGGATAGTGTGAATATGTTTTATACAGTGAGAAAAATGGAGGTGGGTTGATAGGTTTTGGAAAGCTGTTTTCAATGTTGACCTCCCTCTGGAATTCATGCTGAAATCTCATTCTGGCCTTGATAGTGATGAGAGGTGGGATCTTTAAGAAATAATTTGATCACTAGATCCTGTCCTCCCAGGTGGGGTAGGTAGCATTAAAAAAGTGTAATTTCATCTCTACTTCTTTTCTCACTGCTCTCAGGTGTGCCCATGTGATGATGCGGCAAGAAGGCCCTCCCCAGATGCCAGCACCCTGACTTTGACTCACCCCGACCAGAACTCTGGAATTCATAACTCTGCTATCTGCAAATCACCTGTTTCAGGTAAGCTGTTATGCCAACCAAAATGAGATTAAAGCAATCCATCTTCACTGTAATGTCTCCCTGGAACACTGATGGGTCATTTAAATTAATTCTGTTAAAAAAAAACACCACTTCTTTTAAACTAGAGATAGAAAAGCAAAACATTGTAGCACAGCAGTAGAGATGTCAAAAAAGAATCAGAGGAGTAGTTACACAGGCAGTGACCTGAAATGGAAGACTGAATGCATGTGAAACAAGTTTCCCTAAAGTTTGAGCATGACAATGCACTTCTATACCAGTGCCAGGAGTATTGGAACATGACTGGTTATTTAAACTAATTTAACTATTATTTTCCTTTTTGAAATTATTTTGTTGTGAATTTTAACAACATATTTTGATCATATTTAGACCCCTCCCTTACCTGCACCCACATTATACAAACTTTGCTCAATAGACCTTAACATATGTAAGAGAATGCATGAAAACAGGCTGGGGGGGCTATGAGGGAGTGCAGATAGGACAGGGTGTCTAAATATGATTAAAATGTAGTAGGTGAAATACACAAAAATCAAACAGCTAAAGAAATGATTTATAGAGGGATTCCTAGATAGCTCCTTGGTACAAGCATTGGCTTCTCTTCTGGGTGGGGGGCAGGTTTGGTTCATAGCATGGTGGCTAACATCTGCCCATTTCCCCAAATCCAAAGGATTCACCGACCTTTTCTGGCTTCTGAAGACATTGCATGACACAGGTTCAGTTAAGTACATGTGGGCAAAACATTTGTACTCACAATAGAGGGATTCCTAGATAGCTCCTTGGTACAAGCATTGGCTTCTCTTCTGGGTGGGGGGCAGGTTTGGTTCATAGCATGGTGGCTAACATCTGCCCATTTCCCCAAATCCAAAGGATTCACCGACCTTTTCTGGCTTCTGAAGACATTGCATGACACAGGTTCAGTTAAGTACATGTGGGCAAAACATTTGTACTCACAAATTAAAATAATAAATTAAAACAAAAATCTTAAATATATACATGACTTCAACTTTTTTAAGGTCATAGTTCATTCAGCCTTTGAATTAAATACTCGAAGCTATTCATCTGTTCATGTTTACAATTACTCAGGCTGACTCAAAAGCACAAATATATGTCTAATTAAATTCTATTTAGTAATAGGTTTTTTTTTCAGAGCTGAGGACTGAACCCAGGGCCTTTAGTTCTGTGAGGAAGAACTTTTTCAGAGCTGAGGACTGAACCCAGGGCCTTGTGCTTGCTAGGAAAGCATTCTACCACTGAGCTAAATCCCCAACCCCTTAGTAATAGTTTTTACTGAAGCTTTATTTAAGTATAATATAGTAATTATATATACCAGAGGGAGGTGAGTAAACTTCTGTTAGTTGACCATGTTT